ACTTCATCCCCAGCACAAGAGCTATCTACCATCTAAATTTCGTCACCCTAGCATGTCTGGATCATGAGATATCAAAACCGGAAGTTCTGCTGCAGTACCATGACAAGCCGCCAGGGGGCCCAAAATCTAATCATTTTGAGGTCTCATCAAGACCTACCCACCTACCAAATATCAAGTCAGTCCATTTAAGCCTTCTCAAGTTATCGTGTTTACACACACACACACACACACACACATACACGAACGCCTCTGAAAACATAACCTTCTTGGCGAAGGTAATAAGTCACCCAACTGTCCGCCGTGTCCCACTGACAGTTTCCGGGTTGCCTTACCGTCCTCCTGATCCTCCCACAGCGCCGTCACCTTGGCAACGAACGGCAGGTCCTTCTTGCGCGGTCCGGACTTGAGCAGGACCGTGTCCCTCTCCTGTATCAGGTCGTCCTCCCGACACATCCCCCGGTAACACAGCCGCCGCACGGGCTTCCCCTGGGCCTGCAAATATACAGGTTAAATACTCTTCACAAAAAGGAACAAACTGTCTCTTATGAAAACCGTGTAAATCCTAATCATATCCGTTATCATTTTACATCTCCTGTAGCTCGTGGGGATCAGTGAACGTTGGCTATCTGAAAGTTTCATATTTTTGTCTACCCACTATAATCAGACTACCGTCTGGTGGGACCATTTTGCTAGTGCCTTCTCCTTCCTGACCTGTAGCCATACATTAGTAAGATTGTCCTGTGCCGGGAAGCGTGCAGAGCCAGGCCGCCAGCCTGTTTGGAACGTGTCCAACTTGTCGGAACGATTATCAGTTTCCCATTCAACCATTCCCAAACGGTAGTAAATCAGGCCCAATGAACTGCACGTGGTGTAATTGTTTTCGTGTCGCGAGACCATAAACGTGTTTTGATTTGCACCACGGCTTACCCGTTTTATGACAAGTTCTGACACGGTTCTATGTCGATGAACACTGCGGCAGCGCCGAGAGAGAGTTCATAACCGTCCCACATAATCCCGCATCTCTACTTCCTACACACAAGTGTCCGTCACAGTCTGGGAGGAGACAAGCTCTGTACGAATCCTCAAATTATATGGCCTAACTTAAGCCTGTTAGGAATAGATAAGCCTTGGCTCTTGAGTTATTTGACAGAGTTGTCAGATTTGTGGGGGTACGCCGGTTAAGGCATAAAAGGCTTATAAGGAAGTGCCTATAATAACTAAGTGCGCGCGTGTGCTATATAAGATGAGAGTTAAGTGACAGGACTATTGAGTTACATTACATTATCATTCACTCTGTTCATATTTCTCCGTTTTGGCGCCCGCCGGTGAAATTATCCGTAATGCGGTCCGAGTTTTCTGGCGTTTTCAGAAATTCAATTCTGCCCGAGTACATGTACGAGTATTTCTGTATCGTATTGACATAATGCTTTTACGTGTAGTGGGTGCAAGTGGAACATTAGCAGACTGGTCTATCTGGATTTCGTCCTACCTACATCGTACGACGGCTTCAGAACCGACGCCCCAAATCCCTTTTTATTACACTATTCGTCTCAATTTAACTTCAGAATCAAGATCAAACGCGACCGGCTCATAACTCGGACAGACTGGTCACCGTCAGGTCCTGGTCAGCGCCAGGAGGACTTGGCGAGTGACAACTCTGAAGTCTCAAAGCGATTTATATCCGTCTATAATAGCTGTCTGATTTCGCGCCGCGCAGAATTTTACTAAGCAACGGCTGACCTTGACCCCTCACAGCGCGCAGACTTTGTTAGGTGTGTTTACATATGCTGTTCACGCCACATATCCATTACAACACGAGGCCTACACCGTTCACTGAGCGGCTACCTGGTCTTCTATTGTTCTCGGACCTTAATTGTATGAGGGTTGCGACTCAGAGTGGGACTGTTTGAATAGTGGCTCAATATGGCACGGTTTTAATCGACCGCTTACGGTGATCCAATATGACAAAAAAGATTAAGTTTGAAATGCAGCGTTTCATAGTCCTAATATTTTTAGTATCTGTTTCCTACTATTTCTCAATTAAGGCTGCTGGTCTGTACATAGTATTTCTGTTGTTTTGTAAATACGTATTAGGTACTATGATATTACAAACTATGTAGATCGGCAAGAAATGAGATAAACCCAATACAAAGGAGCTGCTCTTACAAACCATTTAAAAAATGCTACAAATAAGTAATCTGTGATCAAAATACGCTCGACCGGTGAACCATTTTCCACATTTCATGATATCTACTAAATTTGGGGCGTTCTGGTTTCCCCGCAGAGCAGACACCAGCCTCACATTGTTGTACGAGTCAGGTTCTACTGGTAATAAGACGCGTCTCTAACATTGTTCCGCAGGAAAAATAGATGTACCTGTGCGCCCTTCATTCGTACTGTCTCCTGTGGGTCTGGGATTATGATTACATGAAGTCCGTTCTCCGTGGCTAGGTAATCCCGGCCAAATTGCAGACTACCCGCCGCACGGATGGAGGCGGATATCAGCACCTGGGGCCGTCCGCGTAGGCACACACACACCTCTCTGCTTTTCAACCTCTCATGTTTCTGGTCGTCTTACTCTGCTAATCAGTTTTACGACAGTTAACGTGTGTGTAGTACAAATTACTACGTGTCGTAGTGACCCAAATGTGTTTTTCATGCCTCGATATAACTAGATAGTCCTCTTATTTTAATGAGTACTTAGAAGTTCCAATTTTCACGTACAATTGTTGAAATCATGTATTCATATTGTGCTCCCTCGCCCATGCAGCTGGTGAGACTATCCATTTGTTACCAGCACTAACCATTGTTAAATCATCTACGAGATGCGCTGTGTCGTGATTATTGATAACGATGTTTTCCGTGGCGCTCCCTACAAATGCGTGACGGTTGACATTACATTAGCGTTGCTAGGGCTGAATTTGTCATCTACAGCTAGACTAATTCAACTTCCAGAAATTCACAACGGCTGGGAAGAAGTAGGTCTACGCTAACTCCGAAACATGTCAACATGTTGAACGTATTTCGGTTGAACGTATTGCCGTTGCGGTCGTGTGGCGCAACGGCAGCGTGCACGACTCGGAATCAAGAGGTCCCGGGTTCGAGTCCTGACATGCCACCGATCTTGTGCCCTTTGGAAAGGCACTTTCCCCACTAGACTCAGGTGAAAATGAGTATTGTATTGTCCCCTGTGTTGGTGGCGGCATTAATATAAGTTGAAAAATCTTGAGTGTGCCGTCACCACGTCTTGTGATTAGATGTTGGATTATAAAAAAAAACATGTCAACAGATTCCAAACATGTCAATGAATACTTTCATAAGGTTTCTCATTAAAAATTTCAACCTTTTTTCACTGAAATCAGTCACTTACGCTTGATATTAGTAACATTTTGGGTTTTTGAAATACTAAAATGACCAAAAAATGCTGATTTCTCTTTATTTGTTCGTAAAGGATATAAAATGCGTGTGTTCCCAGCAGTGCACTTTGGGTACGCATCAATGTATTAATCTAGGGCAACAGGAATCAGTGACGTGCCGATGTTTGCGTACGTGGAAACTCCCACGGCGGGATGGCTTTATTAAAGGTCCGCTAATGGCCGGTGCGCAGTAAAGCTTTTCACCGTATGACATCGTTTGTAGAGACGTCAATCGTCAGAAATGTAACGTTTGTAAATGTATCTCAGGGGCATGTACTGTGCGGGCATTTCGCGTGTTTGTAACTAGCCATGGGATTATCTGACCGGCGCAGGTATGCCATTTTCCAGCCTATCTCTGCTGGTCTTAATAAGCCATACGAGATGGCAACAAATTAGGTTATCGCCTTACCGCCGAAAACACCATCTTTTCGTAAGGCTCTCCCTGCCACTTCCATCCGTTGGTGGACTTCTTCCGTTTGGTCCTGGCGACGAACTTGTGGTTGTGCGTCTGGGCGGTGTCCAGGGCGGGAAAAGGGTCAGACTTTCTGTCGGTGGAAGGGCCGACCTGGTCCGACAACACCGTGTGGAGCGGCTGGTGGAAAGGACCTGCCGTCTGGTACCATACACCTATATAACATCCAGATATATTCAGGTCATAACAAATACAACTCGTACGTTACTCTCTGGCGCACCATAATCGTCTTTTGGGGCATTTTTCATGACTACTCTGCCTAACAGGGTGACCGCGTGAGGAAAGATGTCTGATCACAAAATATGTACTGTACGCTACAACAGGATGACATACAGAAGAGCTGAACGCCAGTTGTTTTTCAGGACATGCTACTCTCGGGCGTTCACGTGAAGTCACGCTCTCGTGCAAAACGAGAGTCAACACTAGCCAGGCCTGGGAGCGGATTACCTGACACGATGTTCATGATAATAAATTACATGGAAAAGGCCGAGCTATGCGCAATTATCCGTAAGAACGTTTAGATTCTATCGGGTGTCTTTCACACAAAGGGAATACGTAGTCAATTATAAGCGGTGGTCACGTGGAACTGAATGGTGCGGTGCGGGGCCGGTTCCGCAATACGTTCGACAAGACGCCTAAAATACTAGTACACCAGGCACCTGGAGTGGTAAGCTTGTTAAAAAGTGACAGGACGTGCTGCGATTTTATTAAAAAAGGTTTGGAGGCACCGCCCATAAACAGACATTGGTAACAATATACTGCGCCATTTGGCATCCAAGCGATCATAATTAAATATACATTATGTCGGAATTTACAACTACAAACCAAATCAATACTATTCCGTGTACCTGCAGACAAAAAGGACTTCGACAATTATATATTTTATCCCGCCTACGTTGTGTTCCCACAACCCACTTACCATTATGTAGCCTGGCAGAGCTGAATTTACTGAAGGCACTTTCGGTCGTTGTGGGGCTGATGCCGCCGTTGGGGAGGATCTGCGAGGCGCTGAGGTTCGCAAGCCCCGTCAACATGAGCGTCTGCGGGTGGCTGGGAACGGGGCTACCCATCCCAGGGGGCCGTGCGTGCATGGACGGGAGTCCTGATGACGCCAGAAGTGACGTACGGTTCCTGTTGAATCCTCCACAGAGGAGTCTGAAGTTGGCGGCGTGCTGATGCCTTTTGTACCCGTTTTTGGCCGACCCACCCCCGCTCTTAGACCTTCCTCGGTTGTTCTTCTTGGTCTGCGAAGCGTCGTCCGCTGTTTTGTAAGCAGTCATTATTGCCTGGGCGTTCAGCGCGGCCATGCGCTTGGTGTGTCCACACACCTTCTCACTGCCGCCGCCCTTCTGCGGTGGGAACGACTTGCTACGAGATTTCTGCTTCTTCCCAGACGTGGTGCCCAGCAATTTTGTCTTGGACTTGACTTTCTTAGCTACCGCGATTGGACGTTTTTTCATCGACAAGTCCAGAGGTTGGTCCGGGTCGGTGGGAAATCCTCCGTTTTCTTCACCATTTCCAAACGTGTTCAGTTTGGAGGAGTCGGTGGGTGAAGTCGTGAAGACCTCCCCATCACTGCTGGACGACGAAAGCGATTTTCCCTTTCTCGTTTTCTTTGGTGGTTTCCAGTCGTCCTTCTCGTACATGAGATTGACTTTCAGCTCGGCTGTGATACTCGCCATTCGTCTTTTTCGTGGAACTACTGGAATGGCGTCGTCCCCAGACGACCTTTTCTTCCCCTTTCTTTTGTTGCTGCCTTCTTGTTTTTCAGTTTCGTAGGACACATCGGATGCATTTGCTTCACCTTCCCGACGATCCGGGTCTGGAATGTGGGTCTTTTCCGATTGGGGGCTCTCCTCTAAATCGGATTTTTCCGTGGAAACGTCATCCGAGGACGTCACCAAGGCCATGTCTTCGCCATCCTGACATTCCTCCGGTCTGACATCTGTCTCCTCGAAGCAGATGGCGCGCACAACGGACGACGCGATGCCGTTAGAACACGGTGTTCGATTGCCATGACTACTGTCTGCTACATGGCACGTCTTCCCACAGGACGAACTGACGACAATTTCCGCGGGAGAACCAGCACTCTTAATGAGTGACATACACTGATTTGCACACGGAGGGCTGGTACCGTTCAATTTCAGGTCGCCTTTTGTTTTGGGCGACAGGCCGATCTTGGCGTCCTCCATCAAGTCCTTACTCGGTTGCTCATCCCGATGACCATTGCACAATCCTGTGACGTTTTCCATTGCTCGTTTGACAGTAGGGTTTGCGTTCCCGCCGTTAGATGCGACCTCGGACATTTTCGCCACGCTGTCGGACTTGCTTCGGCTGTTCCTCGGGCTTCTTCGTGGAGAAACGTGACCCCTCTGCGCTTCTCGGTCCCCTTCGTCGGCGGTGACTGGAGTCATTTTGCCGATAAAGCATGAACTCAGCTCCCTAGCGGAACCGAAAAACAGTTCGTCGGCCTCGTCAAAGTCCGTGTTTCGACTGCCTTCTTCGTGTACTCTTGCCCCTAGTATAGCAATGCTGACGTCGTGTTTCTGAAAGTGGAACAGATAAACAGTTAGCCATGACAATGGCAACATGGAAACAAAGAACACATTGTAACAATTTGGCCGTGAGAGAAGTGAACAGATGTTCACCCTCTGCTGACCACGTGCACGTGTTTTTAATGTCTTCTCCTTCGGAAACTTCAGTCTTTAGACTATCGGTTTCTATGTCTATATGATTATGTTTCTTCAATCACAACTATGTAACGTCTTTCGGACTGCGATTAAAAATATGGCTTCCGTTAGACACACCAGAAAGATTCGGAACGTTGTGTGGCACCTTGGCAGAGGGTTTTAAACATCGATTGTAATCTTGTCTAAGAGAGGTTTGCTGCCCAAAGCGACCCTTAAATCAAAGTGTCCTTAACTCAAGCGACGCACATACAGCACATCAAGAGTTATACCTATAGGCAGAGATCCCAAAACTATTACAATCTAATTTCTATAGGTTTGCCTCCTACCACTGAAAGGGTTCAAGCAGAGTTCACCGTTCTGCTGGCTTTGTGTCTGCTAGCCTTTAGCAACACAGGCGTGTGCGACGGCAAGTTCGTCAACAACGCAAGTTTTTCTCCGTGTCTCCGGGTTTTCCTGTCTTTTCTTCTCTTTCTATCAATATAACTCTGTGATTCTTTTTCACTGCCCTCTCTCTTCTCGAAGCACTACTGTTGCTACGGATGAATGTCAACAGGGACGTGATGTTTTTTGAAATCTTGATCCCAAGTTGATATTGGGAGGGAAACATTTTGTCTGTTCGTCCGTTCTTTTCCGACCCGCACCCCTCAGAAAAACGTTTGGATGTTCTCGCCAAAACTCCGACTGGAGAATAATTCTTATTCGCCCCGTTGCTTACTCCTTTGTCATGGGAGGCTGACTGAGCTAATCTGATGATAGTTGACTATCAGAAAAACGGGGTAGCCAGAGAACATAACGTTTCACCGCCCTGACATCTGCTTGGAGAACATCGCCTTCCGTCCAGGCAGGAAGTGCATCTACGCCAGTAGAATCCTTCCTGTTTACTTCTGAGGGCTCGTGCAAGGGGAAGGGCTAATTTGCCGACATTCCAGCCACTCAAGTCAACCCCCGCTATGGTTGTCGTCATTATTACGTTAGTGATGTTCTGTGTACTGTGTTGTCGTTCTCTCAACCCTAGGAACGCCGGATTTTAACACATTCATGAACTGAATCGAATATACGATCGATGTCTAAATCTCTGCTGACGTGTATACACGGGTGCAATCTCAAAGCAGATGTGACGAGGGTCAAAATGAGTGATACGAATACGAACTGCCGCTCGCAATATCTGCTTGGTAATGGTAGTAAAATGCCGATCGTTGGTAACCAACATTAAAACATACGACTAATTTCAAAACGTCATAATGATAAAGTTGTTGTTTTCCATGGCGGGAAATTGTGTAACCGTTTCCAGTGACCAATGGTGGGAGGTTTTTAGCGTCATGTGATGTCCGATGTTTTGTGAACATAGGTGACATGGCTTCCCGGTCGCACTAAACGTGTTATTGCATACCGGACGAAATACGCCACTATTATGCATGTATACGGTGTATGAACGTGCAGATGGCACAGGTACACGATAGAATAGCTATTTGCCACGTTGGTCAACAGACCGTTGATAGTCTAAACAACACCGAGAGATTTATTGATCACTTGTGTACTATTGTTACACGAGGCTGTTTCGTGAAGAATGTCCGAGAAAACACGACCACCCCTCACAAGAAAGCAAACTAGCCCGCTCAAGGTAACGCCACCAAGTGTCGTAACTATAACGATACCAGAGGGAATTACACAGGTACAACAAAACAAGTGACATAAATCCTTCCTAACGTTCTAACCAATGAGCAGTCTGGACAGATCGAACTACTCGGGGCAAAGGTTACACACTGGGAAGAGAGATCGGGCATTTTTTTCGGTTCCGGTTTACCGCTAATCCCCTAACACACGGTCTAGTCTGACCACATATGGACAAATAGAGGTTAAGTGAGGTGACATGGATTTAAGAATCCAAATCCACACGTGTGAAACGTTTGTACACAAAACGTGACACGTAACCCTTTCTCCCCCTCTCTTTCCTTCGTTCAATCCATTCACACGTATTCATGTATTCTAGTTTCCATTCCTGAAACACTTCTCCTACTGACGTAGTCGTACTGTGGGATAACGTACTCACTCTTTCCTTGCTCAGAATATCCAGTCAGCTACATAAAGAACAGTCTAACGGCGAGAGCACACCGGTGGGTGATTGGAACTGGGGGCGTTTTTGCTCTTTCACTGACACAGTTAATCATAATAGTGGGTCACGAAACGGGGTCATAGGCACCCTAACTTTGGAGGCTACGGTAGCAGCGCACATCAGTAAGACTAATAACAATGTGGAAAGCTCTATGCAAGTAATACTTCAAAACATGTGTCTCAGTTATTAATGGTAGCGCTAACGTAGAGCTACGCAGGGAGGGGGAGGGTCGCTCCCAGGATAAGAGGTCCCTCCCATCCAATCGGCCTTCCGGTCCAACCCGCACGATCCTAAAACCGTGCTGCCAACACAGCTACACATACCCGCCTTATCAACACAAAACAACCACAACGACTGTAAGTTATCCAAACAGCAGTAAACAGTGTTTACCGCACGATTACGCCAGACATTCACACTGTGCACATTGTACCGGTATCCAGCACCATCTGCCTCCTTACACAAGGGACTAACTATTGGTCGCTTGGTCACTGGTGGGACTCGCATATCTGCTCGCCTCGTTAGCTGAAGCAACGCCGTTCCTGTGCACATAAAACACAATGCGGCCAATACAGACACACGGCCGTCACTTCGGCATCAACATTCAACCAGGGCAAGGCTCACCTCCGGCAGGTCGCCCTCTATCCCACATTGTAGTACGCGCGTAGAAACGTTCCTAACGTCCGACGCCATCTTGTTTGGGCTGGCGAGACCCGCGAACCTAGCCGCTGACGTCACAACGGATGACGACGGGGCTTCAGATGACAAAGCGGTCTCACCGGAGCAACCTGGCCACACCTTCCGCCAGGTGAAAATAAAAACTAGGTGAAGAACAAAGCATTGAAACCCCACGCTGCTGAACCTCGGACTTTCATCCAATTCCCGCATGCGAACTTTGACCTTTGTGGTAAGTTGCTGGACCACCGCCCGTCTTTCCGCCCAGGCGACCAACTGACGTGTGCCACCAACGATCTACGGTGGGTCATGTGACGGTCGCGCCCTGGACGGTAACCCACAACTACCAGGCACTCCCGTTCCCCGGGGCAACCACACAGCCATCCTGGTATAAATCAACTGCGACACTCGTCTCTCCTTCTCTATCAAACTTCTTTTGTTTTAATGGAAGATGACACTGGACGAGATTACGACATTTCCTACTAAGCCTCTACGTATACCAGGCTTCATGGGCGGCTGGAAAGAGTAGAAATTGATCAAATAGACAGATAACATGCTATGGGAGTTGGTCCGATAAAGGAGTTTGCCGCTTCAGAGAAATTAAGGTTTACACAAAATGATTTAGTAACGTTGGCTGTTGATGCCCATTGACCACTGTATGTTTACGACAAACCAAATTCTCATTCATGTTTCAAACAAGCGTCATTTGACGGGAAAAGCTTTCAGACTTGGGGTTAAAAAATTAAGCTCACAAATGACTAGAGAGATAGCATAGAGTTATCACCACAAGGTAATCAAATTCTAGTCAGTGATCGACTACTGATAACAGCGTGTGATCTGCAGCTAACGCCTCTACATTACTTTGAAACAAAAAGTACCCACATAACTGTGGCCGTGTCAGATCGATTGATAGAAAAACACTCTTAATCCCTTACTTAAAAGTTTTATTTCAGAGCAATTAGCACAAACCCAATATCTCTTGCCAGGTGTGTAACGTTTGTTGCTAACTAAACACCGTTGTTTCCTCTGCTTCTTCTGTCTGAAAACAGCTCAATGGAAACGTCTTTTGTTTTCATAGCGACGCCGACTCGTTCTGAAAAAATATCAGCCATGGTGAGTCATATTTTTCAGTAGCGCTATTCTGGGCTATTCTACGATTTACAGATACTTGGAAATCAAACAATTAGGAGAGAATTTGATTGTAACATACAAGGAAGGGAATAGTACACAATTTGGGGAGACAAATGTCAAGGTAAGAGGATATTATTAGTAAGAAGGAAACGAAAAGACTATCTTAATATACAAGAGGGTGGGTGTCAATGTCACATTACGCCCCTCCATGTAAAATGGAACGACCCGTCGTGACAATAACCAACCGCGGCTGTTATCTGATACGATGAAAAGGATGTAGGTATTTTAATCTGATGATGTAGACGACCTTTGCATCATGGCGTTGTCAGCATGGGTCATCTGTTATCTTTGCCTCCTTTTTTATCGACATAGTGGTTCCAGTATTCACGTTTGGCAAGGTCGGCAGACAAGAAATGAGATCGCAAAATCGAGCTGCAAAATATGCCACGTCATTCCTTCCCAACAACATCCCGACGATTTAGAGGTCAACATGCAAATCAGCCTATTGGCTGGAACAGGTTACACTTCATGCTGACTCTTGGTGTTCCCGGTGTTGGACCACTAGAAACATCAGTGAAAGTCTGGAACTTCATCTTCACGTAAACAATGTCTGTTTTCGCCATATTTAATAGACTTGTTAGGCTATGACGTTTACTGTTTTGTGAATACGCTCTCTACTAGTACATGTATCTGATGTTACAACCTCTTGTAATATTACTGTCGCCTCAAGTACCCATTTCATAACTGTGATGAGCAGTTGACAAACACTTTCACACCAGGCACACCTTTACACCACTCCGCTCCCTCCCTCACTGTGATTCTGTTCGTTTTGCCTCCATGTCTTTTGAAAGTCTCTCAGCCTTTCAGTGGGGCTGACGGGCGATCCATCTTCGTCTGAGAAATTCTTGTCTGTCGGACCATTTTAGCGGTAAGGAAGTTTAGAACTCGAACACAGGGGTCCAGAAAAGGAGATACTAACCCTGTTACATCTGCACAGTTACAACGTACCCATGTGACTATTCTGAAATAGAAGCGGAAAGGTTAGGGACGGATGTGATGATTCCAAGTCAAGCCACAATGAAGTAGGCCAGGGTTTGTTTTGGATTACTAACACGGCATTGATTTGCCGGTTGGGCCGTAACATCTTGGCGGGGGGGGGGGGGGTAACTGGTTTAGTCAGACGCCACCATAGAAAAACGACAAAAATATGACTCAATTGATAGTCTACAAGGGAGTATCGGAAAATGAATGACCTTATGTAAACTCAAACACATATATCCACAACATACATATACACAGCACACACAAACATTCTGACTTAGTTTGAACGTGCAAAATACTTCAAGACGGCCGCGCAAGCAATCCCGTCTCCAACATTCATGTCCCAATACGTCTGGTCCATCTCGTTTCGTCTGTACGTGTCTTGGAGCAGTAAATACGAAGCACGTGGGTATAAGAAGAAGACATACTTCTCCAGACGGTCTGTCGCCCTTTTAAGGTATCCGGAAATCCTTCGTTGTCAGCTTCAAATGTACGCAAAGTAATAGTAACCGCTTTTCGGTCTATACTCAATCTTGATCATGAGGTATACATACTCAAGACTAATGCCTATCATACAAACATACAACTGCATTTGTATGGTTAAAACGCTGCAACTGTAGCAACCGCGGCACCGCGAACTTTAAGGTGGCTTTGATACTGGAGCCCAATATCTGCCTGAGGATTATATGAAGGAGAATCGTGAGCGGGGGATGAAACAGAACTAATAGCGGAAGGACTGAGGGACAGTTCCAGGCAGCTTCCGGGAAACGCAGAAAACGGCGAGAGAAAAAAATGCATAGCTCTTGACCTAAGTCTACTTGCATCAACGCACAATCTATATCATTCATATCTATGAGATATATCGTAACGAATACAAGAAGCTTGATGTGCTGTAGCCTCGCTATGCACAATTATACAAGAGTGAAGAAAACCGGTGTTAATCAAAAGTGCATGGAATTGATCAACGACACGACACCAATCTCCAAGCGATCTTTCATTCGAAACAGCTCAAAGATTACACGCCACTCGCGACCGCGTACAATGTATTACAATAATTGCACTCTTGCTCAAACAACACGCAAGAGACGGCAAAAAAACAACGATTGTTTGAGTTTAATATTTGATATCTAATCATCACCCCGAAGCTTAAAGAAGGAACATGTTTTGAATACTTGCTCTCCAGACTGCGCCATATATAAGCGTATATAAGCTGATAGCCGGCCGAGATCCTCAGCACTGGTATGTGAGATTTCTTGATTACATTGCCTGTACACAGCGACTGAGTGTTGATGCAACTAGGGATACGAATCATTGCCACAAATATGTGTTACACTAGGAAAGATGTTCCTTGGTCGACGTGACGTGTTTTACAATCACTCCGTGTGCCTCGCTAAAGCGGGTAGGGTCCTCGCCTATTTACTTTCCACGAGGCTTTACACGTCACTATAGAAATAAATATTTTTCAATGAAATACGTTTGTGTAGAAACTCTCAAGCTTAGTAAAATAATAGTGCAGAAACAGAACTAACGCCGACTGACATACATGATACATCCATGCTGAACCCATGGCTGAACATGGCTACGGCTACGTACGTAACCTATGTTGGCGTGGCCTAGGCATGACTACGCAGCGCTACCCTTCATCAATCGCCACGTAAAAACTCGGTGTTTTTCTTCTGTTTACGTACTGTTCTGTGATTGACCGTGATTGTCTGCCCCCGCAAGTGTTTTAGAATTGAAAGCAATAGAAATCAAACAGCACGTTAAAAACACAATATCAACACAATCCTTGGGGCTAACGCCGCACTGCATGACGCAGTCTAACAGATGATATACTGTATTATAAAGGTATAATCGTTAGCAGTGTGTCCCTTTGGGACCTGATTCACTGCGCCGAGGGACCGGGTCATAGGGGTAGATTCATTGAACTGTAAAGACTCTTTGAACATAGAAACATACATCAATCTAGAACACTCCAGAATATTAACCACTTGCCAGGAACTAAAAGGAATACTAGTACCCCATACATTGGTACCAATGTGTTGTTACGAAATATCAAGGCTCCACAAACCGACATTTCAACGACGTATCAAAATTACAGACACAATATAGACCACAAACTGCTCAACATCATGTACAACACACTCCACAAGAAGCATGTAGATCATGTAAAACACCCCGATGCCGGCAGTAAGACTTAAATCTCCCAAATGCATGACAATACGACTAGGAAAATGACTACATTGTGATATGTTCTTACCAGAAGAAGGCTGGTTTAGCCCTCTATATCCGCTTAGCAACTGTTAAGCGCCTTGCTGAGCCACATTTTCTTTCACGGTAGTCCTCCTTTCTGTCCGCACCCGCCTGCCAAACTGGCAAGCCTACCCTATCAAACCTAGTTTTATCCCCGACTACGTCCGTTTGTGATCTGAGAAAAGCTGCCCGATCCGTTCCCGGTCCGATGTCTGGGCGCACCTGTCTGCTCACCTGGTACGGACTGGCGACTGTTCTTTGAATTGTTCACGCCCGGAGGTTATGGTGTTTGAGTTCCTTTGGGAGTTCCACGGAATCGTGCATCGTGCGATCAACATGGTATCAACTTCCAAAAGTACCTCACTCTACCCCAAGCTGTAGGTACCCGGAAAAGGAAACGTTACCTGTAACATCGTGACCTTAACTTGGACCTCCGGTCAAGAGTAAAGTAAACATAATTCATATACGTACCTACGTATCCATGCAAGCTTCAGGGGAAGAGCTACAATTACTTCCTCTTCCTGGTTGCTTTACAGGGAACTTTCTGGTAAAGACGTGTGAAGAATAACTCCACGGCGTACACCTGACGCAGAACATTGATCTAACGTCACAATGACACACGCTTTGGGCTCAATTCCTGCGAGTGTGCGTAAGTGCGTATGTGTGCGCGCGCGCGCGCGTGTGTGTGTGTGTGTGTGTCTGTGCGCGCGTGTGTGTGTATGTGTATGTGTGTGTGTGTGTGTGTGTGTGTGTGTGTGTGTGTGTGTGTGTGTGTGTGTGTGTGTGACATGTTGTTTTAGTGTTGCCTGTGACTGTATATTCAGTCTTTAACGTGGTGGGAAATATCTACAGAACACCGATCTATACACATCTTGTATACTGCACACATACGGCTCAGGAAAACGGAACAGGTGAATTGAGAGAGAAATGTGCGCTTTTTAGTGATATGTGGAGGGAGAATCTATTGATATTTCAGCGGCCGTGCGTAAATTACTTCCCCAATAAATCGATATCGTACCATTATATTCTTGTCTACCGACCCAACTACTTACTCTCCTTGGGAGGATGACCTACAGACGACTGTTGAAGCTATCTGGTCCAGATATATACTATTT